CTATTAAATCCTTATATCTTCTCTGTTTTATTTTCATATTAAGTGCAATGTGATTTTTTTTAATGGCTAAGTACCTCTTTATAGATAGTGCTGTTGTGAGGTCATTTGGTATCCCTCTGCTCTCCTTTCTGATCTAAGGGAGGAACTGAGATTCCCTTCTGACATATGTAAGATAAGTCAGAAGAGGAACCTGTGCTGTCTGAGATTGGTCACATTAAAAAAAATAAAAAAATTAATCAAGGCAGGAGGGGAGGGGATCGGTTTCTCACACAGACCACAGAAATGACAGGGATGGAGGAAGTGGGGAGAGAGGGAGATGCAGTCACACTGAAGACACAGCAGGATGATGGAGGGACGTAAACTGACCACACTATCAAGGATTGGCAGCCATGATTAGCGTGGTCAGTTTTACAGAGGGGAACATAGGAACAGGCAGGATCTACCAGGTATTGTACAACATGGAAAAGGATAAATGACACTGCAAAAGCACTATGCGATGTATCGTGCTTTAAAGGGACAGGACCATGGTTTTTTTTAGGGTTACAACCACTTTAAAGTATAACTAATGGCAAAAACTTTTTTTTTGTGTTCTGGATAGAGTAGAGTGGGATTAGAACTCCTGTCAGGTTTTTATTGCTGTCTGTGCCTCCATTAAAGAGATTCACCCTCTCTAATTATTCTGTTTACCGTTATCAATGAAAGTGAAAGGAAAAAGAAAATCCCAAATTTTTGGTTGTCCCAGAACACTAATAGGTCTTTTGCACACTCTACTGATGTATGAGAAAAAACGAGGATGGTCTGTATATTATTTGTGCGTATTTGAGAGTATGCACACACAAGCAGGAAGCATGGCATTTGCATGTATTTGTGAGTAAAACTGATTTTTCGAATTTTTTTTTACTTATGAATATGCAGCACTTGTTTACTCGCCTGTGTGTACACGCACATTGTAAACAATGGGCTGCATTTTAGATCAGTAAAAATAAACTGTACTGAGCATTTTCAAGCTACAGTGTGCAAGAGGTCATAGATGGGAACTCTACCAACTTGTCCATTCAAGTCAATGGGGCTGTGCCACAACCTCGAGCCAAATGCTTGGCTCACGGTTTCACCTCCTTAGTCCCATTGTAAATTGTATCACCTCCCAGACACCTAGTATGAACTTTCCTGTTTGTTTAAAACTTTAACACTTTCACTGCCAGATCCATTTTTCCTTTTTTTTCTGCAAATGCTTAAAAAATATTTTAGCTCTGAAGATTGCATAAAACTCAAAAACAATGTATATTTTCTGAAAGTAGACACCCTGGAAAACAAAATGGTGGTAGTTCTAATTTTTTATGTTACATGATATTAGCACAAAGGTTAATTTTTAGGGCACACAAATGAAATAAATTACCCAGTTTTTTGGTAAAATATTGAAGATGAGGTTAAGTAAATAGATATCCAAATGGCATGTCGATGAAATGGCGACACACTTCAGTATCCTGTATTTTACATAGACAATGCTTTAACTGGTTCCTGCCTGGCCAATAGCACAGAGCCTGCCGGGCGAGCAGCTCATCCCTCCGGGTGGACTCCATATGGCATTCTTTCAGTCATGCGCAGTGCGCCTGCCCGCAGGGCCGCTTCAGCGGCTCGATCTGTCACCGGCCGTGTACCTCAGACACGGCCGATGACAGATCTGTGTACCGGCCCCGTTTCCAGTAACATGTGACCTGCTGTGACCAATCAGGTTGGACTGGGCTGTTGCATGGACTGTGTGTTGGTGAGCTCAGAAGCACATGTAGACTTTCTGTTAGTAAACTGTGCTGAAAAATGGAAAGCTGTAAGAGGACTTTGCTACCTAGAGCCCAAGCAAAGTAGGACACAGGACTGTATGTTGTTGTGAGCTGCTGACCACATGCTGTTGCCAGAGGGCCTGTTCTGCCAAGAATGGTGTACTGCACCTAAATCACATGCCAAACTGCTGCTCTGCAGAGTACTACTATCTGCAGTGAGGGAGGAGAGACTGTGCTTCCCTTCCAGTGGGTTCCAATTGCTCAAAGTAACCACGTGTACCACTTCTTGCTAAAGCTGCAGAGAGCTGGCTCGAGAAGGAGGACTCTTTTTGTGGCCACCAAGAGACCACTCAGGATCAGAATAAGTGGTGGTGAGTCATCAATGGTCATCAGTGGTGAGATCTGGTCACCATCTTCATTACTTTACTAAGTGCTCCCAACACAAGGGCCCCATTGCCAGTGGACTCTCTACAAAGTCCCACTGGCCAGTGATTAGGCAGGGCATCTCTGCACTAGATAGTAGGTAGGCTGTATTGCCATTGCAAATGCAATTTGCATTGCTGTACTATGTTGAATTGTCTTTAATCTGCTTAACAAGCCAGTATCACTCACTAGTGCTCACCTAGTGCACATTTTTGCACCAGTTACAGTTGTGTCCAAAATTATTTCAACCCCCACTGAAATTGAGTGTTTTGGCCAGTTTGACATTGCTTTTGATCAATTCAGTCATCTTGCTTACATTTTACATTAAAGAGGCACTTGTAGGTCAGACAAATATAACATAACAGTTATAATGAAATAACCACAAATGTCTTTTCTGTGCTCACAGCATTATCAGTTTTATTCAACCCCAAGTGACATTCAATCTTAGTACTTAGTACAGCATCCTTTTACAGTTATAACAGCTTTTTAAACGTGAAAGCATAGCTTGACACAAGTGTCTTGCAGCGATCTACGGGTATCTTCGCCCATTCTTCATGGGCAAAGGCCTCCAGTTCAGTCACATTCTTAGGCTTGCGCACTGCAACTGCTTTCTTTAAGTCCCACCAGAGGTTCTCAATCGGATTTAAGTCTGGTGACTGCGATGGCCACTCCAAAATGTTCCAGCCTTTCCTCTGCAACCATGCTCTAGTGGACTTGGAGGTATGCTTGGGATCATTGTCCTGTTGAAAGGTCCAACGTCTCCCAAGCCTCAGGTGTGTGACGGACTGCATCACGTTTCCATCCAATATCTCCTGGTACTGAGAGAATTCATGGTACCTTGCACACGCTGAAGCTTCCCTGTACCTGCAGAAGCAAAACAGCCCCAAAGCATGATTGACCCTCCACCATGCTTCACAGTAGGCAAGGTGTTCTTTTCATCATAGGCCTTGTTCTTCCTCCTCCAAACATAGCGTTGATCCATGGGCCCAAACAGTTCTAATTTTGTTTCATCAGTCCACAGAACACTATCCCACAACTTTTGTGGTTTGTCCACATGGCTTTTGGCATACTGCAGTCGACTCTTCTTATTCTTTGGAGACAGCAAGGGGGTACGCCTGGGAGTTCTGGCACGGAGGCCTTCATTACGCAGTGTGCGTCTTATTGTCTGGGCTGAAACTTCTGTACCCACATCTGACAAATCTTTTCTCAGTTCCTCAGCAGTCACACGGGGACTTCTCTCCACTCTACGCTTCAGGTAGCGCACAGCAGTCGAAGTCAGCATCTTCTTTCTGCCACGACCAGGTAGCGTTTCAACAGTGCCTTTGCCTTGAATTTGCGAATGATGCTTCCTAAGGTGTCTCTGGTATGTTTAACATCTTTGCAATCTTCTTATAGCCATTGCCCTTCCTGTGAAGAGAAATCACCTCTTCTCTTTGTCTTCCTGGACCATTCTCTTGCCTTCACCATGTTTGTAACCACACCAGTAAATGTCTAGAAGGAGCTGAGTATCACAGTCATTTTAAAGCTGCCTAATTGGTGCTTATTATGCTTGATTGCTGCTCGGTGACATCCACAGGTGTTTTCAATACTGATGGAAAGCACCTGTATGAACCTCTGTTCTTCAGAGTGGTAGTCTTTAGGGGTTGAATAATTGTGGCAATGAAGAAACCACATAAGAACCATTTAATACTGTATTACATAAACAATTGATGTCATTTTAGTTGCATTTGGGTAGTTACAACGTCCTTGTAGGATTTGATTCTGAATACAATTCCAAATGTACACTATAGTCCCTAAACCCTTTACAGCATTGGGGGTTGAATAATTTTGGACACAACTGTACTTCTCATGTGGACATGGTGAACAATGACACCCTGTAAATTGTGTTGCTTACATTGCTATAGTAAACTGTTGTTAATTAACGCATTCCTTTCTAGGGCTTTGCCTTTAAAAAAAGTCCATTTAAATCTTTACAGCTGGTTCACACTGATGCAGTGTGGGAAACCACGTGATTTGGACAGGAATCACACCACATTCCTGTTTAAATCACATGTGATCCTTTGCAGTGTTATTTGAGCCCATTCATTTTTTATAGCTCAAATGACACTGCACCCCCACAAAAAAGGTGCAGCAGGCACCTTTTTTTTTGCCGCACTGGGATCGGATCACATGTGAGCCGATTCAACCAATCGCACTGCTTTTTGTGACCTGTTTTTGGGGTGTTGTTAGCATTTACATCTGCAACGGTTTGCATAAATGGAGTGCGATTGTGATGCGGTGCAGGAAACACACGAAAATCACTACAAATCCCACAAAAGCATCAGTGTGAACCAGGATTTAAGGTGTGTTCTTGGGTCCAGGTAAGGACAGGTCATCACAGGGGCAGTAAGAAGGGGCCCAGTACAAATCAATGGCTTAGCCGTTGGTATGTGCCACAAGTATATTTATAAAAGTTTTTTTTTTTTTTTTACACATAGCACAGTCAGCAGGTTTTAGCAATTCCTTGGCAGTTTCATATTGGGAGGTGACTAGTTATAGCACTCATACTTTCAGAATCATAAAAGTTAGCCGACTCACGCCCACTAATTACAGTTCTTTCTGTTCAGGAGAAAGGCAGCCAAAATTGTTTAGTGGGAGTTCCCCATACTGTAATCTAATTTGTGTTGTACATGTATACTGTCTGAAAGATTGATTTACTAATGTGTGTTCCCTTCAATCACCAAATCAAGTGAAAAAAAAATAATTGCATATTTTTGACAAGGTCCACTGTACACTAGTAATTCAGGCCCAATTTCTCATCACTAATTAATGCTTAGTAAAGAAAGCCTTCAAACAATTTTAGTTTGACAATCAGTATAATTTTGTGATGCTCTAACCAGGGGCAGACTGACCATTTGAAATCGGCACTGCCCGAGGGCCCGGGGTCAGTAGGGGGCCCCATGAGATGCCCCTGGTACCTTTTTCATAGGCTTTTTTGAGTTTGGGCAAGGACACAGGGGCCCCATGATCCCCTATTGCCCGGGGGCCCCATGAGTTGTCAGTCCGCCCCTGGCCCTAACATACATGTTCTTGGACCAACATAGTGAACATTCTGACAGGTTGCTTTAGAGGTTGTCTTCATTATAACTCCAGTTGTAGTGTACATGGCTGTGATGAACATGCAACATGCACACAGAGCTTGCAATGATCTCTATAGTGACCTTTGATGAACATAAACCGGCTTTAAATTTCTGGAGCAGTCACCTGTTGGATTTAGTAGTCCCTTGCTAGTCCCCAGCCTCACAGACTAGGGTGATCATTTTTAATCTGAATGGCCCTAAATATAGCTACACTATCAACAATAATGGTCCATGCAAGTCCCATTCCTAAGTGGAGGATAATTTAAGGATTATTTATCCTTCCTTTTTCAACATTATTTTCTTAGATTAATGTTATGACTGTACTTCAATTAGCTGCAACATTTTTTACTTTAAAGGTATTGTGAAACTGTAAGGAGTAGGAATTTAACCACTTGAGCTCCAGAGGATTTACCCCCCTTAATGACCAGGCCTCTTTTTGCTACTCGGCGCTGCACAAATTCAACAGATAATTGCGCGGTCATGCAATGCTGCACCCAAACGAAATTTACGTCCTTTTTTTACACAAATAGAGCTTTCTTTAGGTGGTATTTGATCATCTGTGCGCTTTTTATTTTTCACGCTATAAACAAAAACAGGCCAAAAATTTTGAAGAAAAACAATATTTTTTACTTTCAGCTATAAAAAATATATAGTAAACTCAAAGTTGGTTATAAATTTAGGCCAAAATGTATTCTGCTACATGTTTTTGGTAAAAAAAATCCCAATAAGTGTATATTGATTGCTTTGTGTGGAAGTTATAGCGTCTACAAACTATGGTATAAATACTGCAATTTACGCCATTTTTCTGCTATACAGCGTTGCGCTAGTTTAACGGACAATTGCGCGGTCATGCAATACGGTACATAAATGAAATTTACATCTTTTTTTTCCCCACAAATTGAGCTTTCTTTTGGTGGTATTTGATTGCCTGTGTGGTTTTTTATTTTTTGCGCTATAAAAAAAAACCAATATTTTGGACTTTTTGCTATAAAACATGTCCAGTAAAAAAAAACTGCAAAAATCAAATTGTCATAAATTTCTTTTTTTTTTTTCCAAAAAGAAAGCCTTTATTAAGAAAGAACATAATGGTACAAAAGACATGTACAGGGTGCCTAAGCGAAACAGCAGGCACAACCTACAGCGATACAGCAGTAACTCAAACAAGAGAATACAGATAATGATAATGCAATAATACAAAACCCGACTACAATAAGGTTATGCTTGCAACAAACCGGAGCCAATATAGTATAGTATGGGGTGTAATTGCATCTTATAATATCCCCTGCGCTCGTGCTTCGCCAAGCAGGGCTGTAGCGATAGGAAGAGTGGTCATGGCATCTGAACGTAGGAATTGGACAAAAAACTTATGGCAAGGTGGAAAGTTACAAAATCGGCATATATTGCGGTAGTAGCCGTTGATGGAAGTGGGGAGAGTGATAGGATGGCATGTCTAGTGTTCCATGTAGCATAGCAAAGCGAGAGGCGAGAAGAAAAGAGAAAGGAGAAAAGAGAGAAAGGAAAATAGAGAGAAAAGTGATAGAAACAGAAAGAGGGGGATGGGGGTGGAAGGTGAAGAAAAAAAAAAAAAAAAAAAAAATTTGCAAAATAAATTAATAGTGGGGGGGGGGGGGGGAAACATATGGGGTGAGTAATGACAGCAATATCTGGGGTTACTCATGCATGGGGATAGGAGTTAAGCTAACGCCAGAGTCGCGTGGGAAGGGATACATTGTCGAAAAGAGTCTCAGTGCCTATCACAAAAGAAGTAAAGAAGTAACATCAGCAGGAAAGCCGGACCAAGTCAGACCTGATGGTCCATAAGAGACCTGTAAGTAGGAGTAGTTGTGAAGTAGATCCAGCAGGCCCAAATGTGGGAAAATTTAGTGGGAGTGTCAAGGGCCGACGCAATTAGTTCCTCCATGTCTGCCATTTTACCCACACGGACAAGCCAATCACGAACAGAGGGAGGGCGAGTAGTAGAGCCCCAAAGGACGGGAAGGCAGAGTCTGGCCGCATTGACCATGTGCATGGCCAAAGATCTATGATATTGTCTCTCCGGAAGGGAGGAATGGAGGAGAAACTGGGCCGGAGACAGATCCAGAGGCACGGTCGTCACCGATACTACAATCCTATGGACCTCTTTCCAAAACGGTTGAATGCTCGAACAGGACCACCAGATGTGTAAAAATGATCCGTCCGCAGCCCCACACCTCCAACAGGTATTGGGATAAGAAGGATTGAAATGAGAAATTCGTGAAGGGGTGCGATACCACCTCGATACCAATTTGTAACCGTTTTCCTGCGTCGAGACATTAAGGGAGCATTTATGAGAATATTTGAAAACACGTGCCCAGTCGGAATCCGCCAAATTATCATCCAAATCTCTATTCCAGGCCTGACAGGAGGGCAGGGAGTAATAGGCCCTATTCTCAATTAAGAGAGGGTAAATTTCTGAAATCAAATGCTTACGCGGTTCTCCTTTCGAGCAAATATCCTCAAAAGGGGTAAGAGGGCGGGTCCAATCACGGAAAGGTTTATGCGAGAGCAGATAATGCCGTATTTGCAAATAAACCCAGAGAGGAAAATCGCGGGTACCCAAGCTGTCACGCAGTTCGTGGAGTGATTTCATCTTGCCTTCGTGGAGAAAGTGTTTGGCCGAAATTTGATCATGCGGCCAATGTTCAGATAGAAAGTTCTTGTGCATTCCAGGGGGGAAGTCAGGTGTCATAAATTTCTGCCAAAATGCATTCTGCGACATGTCTTTGCTACAAAAAAAACCAATACGTGTAAATTAATTGGTTTACGTGAAAGTTATAGTGTTTACAAATGGCGGGAAAGATACTGGGATTTTTAGTTTTTTTTTATACTAATAATGGCGGCGATCAGCGACTTATGGCGGCGATCAGTGACTTATGGCAGCGACCAGCGACTTATGGCGGGACTGCGGGACTGCGGCGGACATTCTGACATTGGGGGGTACTGACTTGGGGTCACTGACATCCCCAAAAACACTAATACAGTGATCGGCGCAAAAAAAAAAACCACTGACACTGTACTAATGGCACTGGGGAGGAAGGGGTTAACTTTATTTTGCAGGGAAGGGTTATCTGTGTGAGGGGGAGTGTTTTACTAGGGGGCGTGTGCTGCACAGGACACCGCTGATCAAAAGAGAGAAACTCTTCTTTCTCGATCAGCTCATCCTCGAGCTGTCAGGGAAGTGACAGACAGCACAGCTACTGCAGCTGTGCTGTCTGTCACTGTTTGCCGCCGATCGCTGGGAAACAGCCGGTAAGACCGGCTGTGACCCGGCGACTGACATCCACGGTGGTCATCGGCGGGACAGATAGGGCGGCGACGTTTGTGGTTTTGCCTGCCCGTGCCGCCCTGCCGCCGTATTTCTACAGTGGCAGGGCGGCAGATGGTTAAAGGGTAGCTCCAAAAAATTAAAAAATAATAATAATATAGCATATACAATTGCTACACAAGTCATATTGTAATTGAATTGTATTAAAGCGGAGCTCCACCCAAAAGGGGAAGTTCTGCTTTAAGCCTTTGTCCCCCGCTCCCTATTAAGGATTGCCACCTTTGGGGAGCTGGTACCCGAATTTGACAGGTACCTGCACCCACTTCCGCTGCAATCGCTTAGGCAGTCTCTGCAGACAACAAACAGCTTCCTCTTAAGAGCAAAAACAGGTAGGAATCGGCAACAAAGTTTGTTAAAATCCCTGTAATGTACATTGATCACCAGGAAGGGAATGTTTTTTTTCTACACCCCAAGCCATGCTTATTAGGACTTTATCCTAATCCTGACCTCGACAAATTTACCAAAACCTTTTTACATGAAACCCTTTTCACAGCCAGAAATCTAATTGGAAGACAATGGATGAGGGCCGAACCCCTACTCTCAACACTTGGATTAGTAATATTACCAATACATCCAGTAGTCCAACATTTAGGATCATTGGTTGTAATCCACTGCGACATGTATATGAATGTCACAACTATGGCTACCCGATATATTGAACATTATGAGGCTATACCAGGGGTGGGCAAACTTTTTGACTTGAGGGCCGCAATGGGTTCATATATTGAGTAGATGAATGATGTGTATGTGTCATCCATAGTAAGTATAGTAATATTCCCCCATGGTAAGCATAGTAATTAATCCCCCATATAGTAATTCATCCCCATAGTAATTCATCCCCCATATATAATATCATTCATCCCCCATAGTAATTCATCCCCCCCATATAGTAATTCATCCCCCCATAGTAATTCATCCCCCATAGTAATTCATCCCCCATATTTTAATTCGTCCCCCATATAGTAATTCATCCCCCATAGTAATTCATCCCCCATAGTAATTCATCCCCCATATAGTAATTCATCATCCCCCATAGTAATTCATCTCCCATAGTAATTCATCCCCCATATAGTAATTCATCCCCCATAGTAATTCATCCCCCATAGTAATTCATCCCCATATAGTAATTCATCCCCCATAGTAATTCATCCCCCATATAGTAATTCATCCCCCATAGTAATTCATCCCCCATATAGTAATTTCATCCCCCCTATAGTAATTCATCCCCCATATTAATTCATCCCCCATATTAAGTCCCCAAGTCCCCCCTGTGTCAATTCACTTACCTTTGCTCTGCGCGTTCCTCTCGCCGTGTTCCCCGCGCCGTTCCGGTGTAGCATGAAAATCTGTCTCCTATGAGGATCTGTCCCCCCTCGACGTATCTGCGCATGTGCCAGTTTCAGGCATTAGCAGCCGATCGGCGATCTCCGGCACATGTGCAGATACGTCGAGAGGGACAGATCCTCATAGGAGACAGATTTTCATGCTACACCAGTCTTCAGGGCGGACTGTGAGAGGAGCCTAGCGGGAGCCTAGCTCCGCGGGCCGGATTAAAAGGTCCATCGGGCCGTATACGGCCCGCGGGCCGTAGTTTGCCCATTGCTGGGCTATACTGTATATGAATCACTTTGTTTTAGCATCATGCATTTTTGTGACCATTGTCATTAGTAGTCCTAGTGGACCAGACCAAGCCTTATTATTAGTAGATTCTTTATTCGACATTCGTTTATCTTGTATATATACTCATCATTCTTCTCTTGCCTATTGGAATGGATACCTTGACACACTGATAATTATTCTTAGGAAATGCCACTGTATTGGCTACCGCTGTGTTATGATTCTCTTTCTACTGTACTGCTGTGCTATGTATCAATGGGGATTTCCTCGCTTGTACTTGTATTGTTTGCCTTGATTGTAATTTTTATTGCAGTGTGATCTCCCATAAGATATGTATGTGCTTCAATAAAGATCATGGTTTCAAGTAAAAAATATAAAATGGAGTTACTGTTTAGGATCAGTATATATACATGTGGCTATTTTTTTACTTCTTACTTCTTTTAGGGACCATTTCAGCTTTTGTTGTTTTCTGTCAAGCATAACATCCATTTGAATTTAGTTGAGCATATGCCAGTATGGGGGCTTCATTTGACTTACTTTGTGTTGTGCTTGAGTTTCTTTGTACACAGCATGTCCTATTGAAGTGCCCTTGAACTGCCGGAGAAGCAGGCCTGTGGTAGTCTTTTCTAGTCAGATGTTACTGTAACACCTTCCAGGTTAGCCAGATATCTGTTTGTTGTTTTCTTTTTTAGGCCCCGGCTGAGTAAGCAGCCTGGGATGAGTTAGCCTGTGAGTGAGGCAGGAGATCACCTCAGGACAGGCTAGGGAGGTTCTAAAGGTCAGAGCTTCTGGAGCCCTCCCACCTCTCCAGAAATCTGTGAGCTTTCTGGAGGGAGGACGCAGGAGGAGAGGATCTGCATGCTTGAGGGACCTTGGCCAATACCTTGGCTGGGGGCTGGGCATGGTGACCAAGGCAACCCTTATGTATCACAGAGCCTGAGAGGAGTCAGGGCAGGGCTTTGCAACCAATACCTCAAGGTACTTTTGTAATCCTATATTCACAAATAATCCTATACTATTTGATATTATGTTATACTTATAGTCAATTCTTTTCTCTATGTAGTAACTCATGAAGAAGCAATAATATTGCAAAACATGTCGAGTAACTATAGAGTAACTATTATGTGATTACTCATATTGACATTCAATTTATTCCTTTTGATATCTTTACTGGGATACGGTACATTTGTGTCAATTTTATTAAGAAAAAATATTTTAAGAATTTTGTAACCAGCATAGAATACTCTACCCCCTATATGGGAGTCTTGTGTTCTTAGCTGAATAACATGTATGTAACTGATGTGTATGGCATACATTCCTATAATAAAGTGTTTTTACAAAAAATATTTTTCTCGCAGTGCCTCTAAAGTCCGCAATTGGCCTTTGCTTTATGTGCTTGAATTATTATATTTAATGTTATAGGACGTGGCACATAGGAGCCTATTATATGCCCCTACAGTTGGTCACTCTGTATGGAATATTTATTCATATTATCAGGGCAGTGTTGGGTGGAAGGTGGACTGAGAGGAAAGATGGAGTGAGGAGCCTTGGAGGGAGCCCCAGGGAGGGAAGCCCACCTGCAGGCAGGATTCTGGAAGGGAGTTTCTCCTCTGTCCCATCATCTCCTTGGGAGGACAGCCTGTTAATCAGGGAAGGAGCCAGCTCAGCATAAGGCCTGAAGGCAGCCACCAACCCACCAAGCTAACAGGGAAAGATAGCACGAGAGTATTCCTACACCCCCTAGGCCAGACAAAGGAAGAGGGCGGTCAGTTGCAATACCCAATTAGTCTTCATCCAGGAACTGTTCTAAATCTACAGTTCTTGGGCTCCCTTGCTCAGGGAATACTCTCAGGCAGCTGGGTGAAGAGGAGGTTTCATTTGGGATCTGAGGAGGTACACCAAAGAGCTTTGGTTGCTCTTAGAGGAGAGACTATTTTTACTAGCCACATTTTTGTACAATATTTGCTCCAAGTTGTCCTCGAGTTTACAGTTTCCTTGGGCATCCCATATACCCCTAGATCCCATCCAAGTTGTTAACCCCTTAATAAAACAACAAAACCAAGCTCAAGGACTGTTTACTGACTACGGTGTGGAAGAAAATGCGTGTTGCCTGGCTGTGCAGGGTTTTTAGGGGGGACCCAGAAACTCAGCAACTCCTAAGGGGGTAGTGCTACACAACTTTAAATATAGCTGCACTGTTTGACAGCCTGATTGAAGCCTTCACAATACCATTCAGCTATATAACACAAATTTTACTAGCAGCTCAGCTCACTATCACGAAGCACTGAGAAAATAAAGCTGGCCATATACTGTTTGAATCTTGGCTGGTTCAGCAGGAACCGGCCAAGATTCAAACCATGTATGGGCAGGCTGAATGTACCCAAGTTGTGATCGATCGATCAACATGGGTTGTACATGAGAACCACCCTGACGGATTGTACATGCTTTATTGCTAGTGGCTGTTATAGCCAGCTAGTAATTAATCATTGTGTTCTCCTGGCAGGGATAGCTTCCCCTGCTCCCCCTCTCCCCCCCCCGCAACTCGTAGTTCCCGGAAAAAAATTTGTTCTGTTTATGGCCAGCCTTGCTTAGCACCTAACTTCTCAGAAGCTGTTGCAAATAGTTTTAAAACGTATTATACTGTATGTATGAACGTATTTTACCCAGTAGAGGTGCTTCGCTAATCTTTGATTATCAATGGAGCTCATGGAGTGCTTGGCTTGGAGTGCATCGATCACTTGAATTGATCCCATTATGTACAGTTTACACTATACCTTTCTAATTGTACTGCTTTTCTGCTAAATCTAAATGTTCTCTGTACTGTTCCACGATCCTTTGCAATGCCCTGCATGCCATCTTTATACTCTATTTTTCTATGTATCTTTGTAATACTCTTGAATTTGAAAATAATGATAAGATTGAGTAAACAAAAAAAAAAAGAAAAAAAGAGCATTCACCAACATGAGTCCTTAGAGTTGGGCAGATGTATGAAAGTACACTTAATTACAAACAGCCCACACTGACACACTGAAACATGTTAAGCATCATCCAGTTTTGGTGAAAAACTTATCTGAGTACATCTGAAATGTCAGACAACCATCTAATAATATGACAACATAGGGTGTCATTACAAAACCCACTCTTCACACAGCCCTGCCCCTTTCTTAGGATGTCTTACCAAACAATGAAAACGCTACCTTCTTAATTATTCATAGATGTATGGAGACATAGGAGGATGAGTAGCCTCTACTAAATCTTTCTTCTTCCAAGCCCTCATTCATCATATATCTGCCTGAGTCACCCTTGTGTATGAAGGTTTTGCTAAGGCAAGTGAAGGGCAGACAAATGGCAACACTTAATTTATGTGCACATCACTGTACAATTCAACTATGGCAGCAACAATGGGATATAAATCAAATGAAAAAATGCAGCGCAGCAATATAAACTCAGATGGTGCTCATAATACAAAAGTGCAGAAATCAATAGTGAAAACAAACATTGTGCATGTGACAATAAATATGTGCTACACCCAATGTCTTCTTAACACATACATATAAATGACCATAGACTTGCACATCAGAGTGCTGAAATGAATATAAATACTAAATAAGTAATGAAACCAAATAAATTATATTTGGTAATGATCTGTCCCTTTAAATCTCAGAAATCTTCACGTGTGTTAGTGTGGTATGTCTCCTATATATCGTGATCCAAATACACAAGCAACAAGTGTCTCATAAATAAATCTCCAAACAATGGTGAACCTTCCCTTTAAATCCGCTGTACTCCAAGTGTATCAGTGTAATTACACTACTTCATACACGTGTACAGTGCTCCTGTGTCACCCCTTATGCAGAACATAGACGGGTCGAAAATTGTCCGATTTTTCAGCCGAAAAAAAAAATCGTCCCGATTTTCACACCATTAGTGGGTTAATTGGTCGGCCCGTTTTTCGGGGTTTTGGCACATTTTTTTATCGGTAAAGTTGGAAAAAAATTTGCCGATTTTCCCAGCAATGATGGGCAGATCGGCCGATCGTTTTTCCGATAAAAAATCTGCGCATGAGCAGTGACCTGCAAGAAGAAGAAAAAGAAGAAAAAGAAAAAGAAGAGGAAGAGGAAGAAGAAGAAAAAGAAGAAGAAAAAGAAGAGGAAGAAGAAAAAAGACGAAGAAGAAGAATTCCAGTCCACTATTGTATTTTATATGAAAAGTCTTGCGGTTGCAACAATGTATCTATTTGTATCCAAATAAAAACCAGGCCACTATTCCTCCCACTGACACCAATATGGGGGGCACTATTCCTCCCACTGACTCCAATGATGAGGCACTATGCCTCCCACTAACACCAGCGATAGGCAATATTCCTATCACTGACACCAATGTTGGGAACTATTCCTCCCAATGACACCAATGATGGACACTATTTCTTCCACTGACACCAAAAATGGGGCTTTATTCCTCCCACTGACACCAATGATGGGGCACTATTCCTCCCACTGACACCAATGATGGGCACAATTCTTCCCACTGACACCAATGATGGGGCACAATTCCTCCCACTGACACCAATGATGCGGCACTATTCCTCCCACTGAAACCAATGATGGGGCACTACTCCTCCCACTGACCCCATCAATGATGGACACTATTCCTCCCACTAACACTGTGATGGGGCACTATTCTTCCCACTGACTCCAATGATAAGGCACTATTCCTCCCACTAACACCAATAATGGGGCACTATTCCTCCCACTGACACTAATGATGGGGCACTGTTCCTCCCATTGACACCAATGATAAGGCACTATTCCTCCCACTGACACCATTGATGGGGCACTATTCCTCCCAATGACACTAATGATGTGGCACTGTTCCTCCCATTAATACCAATGATGGGGCACTATTCCTCTCACTGACACCACTGATTCGGCATTATTCCTCCCACTCACACCAACAATGGCCACTATTCCTCCCCCTAATAGCAAAGAGGGGACACTGTTTACTTACGGACACCAGGACATTTTCTGTTTCCGCTGGCCACAGTCCAGCCCCCTAGAGTAAACAGTAAAATGTTCCTTTGTTTAGAAAGTTTGGAAGACCCCTGTTCTACAGCAAAGGTAAAACCCCCTGGATACTATGTCATCACTGCTTTTCCCTGCTGGGTGCTTTGGCCCATTTTTTTTTTTACCTCTAATCTACCTATCGCTTTTCAGGCTGCACCTGGTACACGGTTTTGCGAGGGCACCTTAGGTCACTGGTATGATTAAGTGTATGCCTGGGGGACAGAACAATTCTTTTGTAATTGGACAATTTATGTGAGTATAAATCTGTAACATGATATGCTATTTAGTGGAGGAATTACAGGAATTTGTTAATGAGTTATTATTATGTTTATGATTCGATGTTATTGCAGATAGTGGAGAAATCTGTGATTTTTCCAGTGAAGGGATTGTTCAAAGTGATTTTGTAACCAACATGTACCCATTAGAGTATAAAAAAAATACAGTGAGCGCTCCTATAGTCAGCAGCTGAACATTCAAGGAAAACACATAAAAGTCCCAAAAATATATATATAAAGAAAATGCAGCGCTGTGTGATGTTACTATATTGCAGGCAGATATAAATAATAAATGAAACCAAAGCAAATTAATAAATGAATAAATAAATAAATAAATAAATCACAAATCCAGTAATGGTGCTTGCTGATTCCCAGTGCAAAAGTTAGAAATACGCACTAACCAGAAACGTATTAATAATACGCATGTGTATATGATATCATGGAGATTCCCCTCTCTTTTCTGGTCTGGTAATGGGCAGGAGCTGAAGATAGTAGAGATGAAGCGCCCTCACGAAATGGAGGTCCAGCAGGTCACAGAAATCCTTACAGAAGTGTGTGAAGTGGAAAATTCCTCCTGTCAAAGGCTGGTGCAGGGATCAATCTGGTCTGCAGAAGCTGAAAAGGCTCATCGCAGAAGACACAGGAAAGAACCCATAGTGTAGTAGGTTGATGAAAATGATTTTATCAAGAAAAACAGGAGTGTTCAGGAAAAACTCACAATGGTGCCAGGTTTAATCAAATGACTGACCCTTTAAGATTAAAGATGGCTGCCGGGCCTCCACGTGGCACCGGCAGCGTAGTGTCAAATGGCGTCCTGGGCTCCCGCTGACGCGTTTCGTGCTCACGCACTTCTTCAGAGTAACATCACACAGCGCTGCATTTTCTTTATATATAACATATACCCATTGTTTGTGGGGACCTGAAGAAGTGGCTGGTTCACTATAAAAGGTATAGACCCGTACTTGTATATTATTGAATTGTACTTGAAGTGAAGAAGTATTACTTGGCTTACACCATATATAACGTGTCCATTTATTTTAATGGCTCTGAGAGTGCAGTATGCTTTATGGTATACACTTAACGGTCACTTTATTAGATACATCTGTTCAATTGCTTGGTAACACAAATTGCTAATCAGCCAATTCCATGGCAGCAACTCAATGCAATTAGGCATCTAGATGTAGTGAAGACAACTTGCTGAAGTTCAAACTGAGCATCAGAATGGGTAAGAAAGGGGATTTAAGTGAATTGTGGCATGGTGGCTTGGTTGTTGGTGGTAGGTGGGCTGGTCTGAGTATTTAAAAAACTGCTGATCTACTGGGATTTTCACGCACAATCATCTCTAGGGTTTACAGAGAATGGTCTAAAAAAGAAAATATCCAGTGAGTGGCAGTTGTGTGGACGAAAATGCCTTGTTGAGGTCAGCGGAGAATTACCAGACTGTTTTGAGATGGTAGAAAGGCAACAGCTGGGAAGAGTTTTTGTCCTTTTTACAACTGCTATTGCATACCTCTCTCCCCTTTGAGCCCCTATACGTTTTATTGAGCCTGTCATTCCCAGGTCTTCCCAAAATGGCCAGGAAACTCACCACGCATATTCTGACTGAGGATAGAAGAAGCATTCCTATGTGTTGGCTATCCTCTATACCTCCTTCGATGCCAACTCTGTTTAAACTGATTGCTGATGTGATACAGATGGAATACCTGACCGCTCTACATTCCTGTTCGATTGCTGTATTTGAGCCAGTGTGACACTCATGGGATAATTTCACCTTTTCCCACCTTTCTCCAAATGTACGGTTCTAATGGCCTCCCCACTGTTGCTATGTGACATTATTATGTTTATAACCATGCAGATTTCACCATCGATGTGCTCCCTCTTTCTCTTGTGTTCCTCTTTCATTTACTGTTTGTATATATATATATATATATATATATGTGTGTGAAAAGCAATAAAAATTGTTAATAAGAAGAAAAGAAAAAGAACAGCAACTTAAATAACTACTTTTACAACCAAGGTATGCAGAATACCATCTCTGCACGCAGAACACATTGAACCTTGAAGCAGATGGTCTACAGCAGTAGAAGACCACACTGGGTGCTACTCCTGTCAGTTAAGGACAGAAAACGGAGGCTACGAATTGCACAGGCTCACCAATATCAGACAATAGAAGGTTGAAAAAACTTTGCCTGGTCTGATGAGTCTGGATTGCAGCTGCGAAATTCAGATGTTAGAGTCAGAATTTGGCATAAACAACATGAAAGCATGGATCCATCCTGCCTTGTATCAACGGTTCGTGGATGTGCAGCTGGCAAATCTGTAGCAACTGCATGATGCTATCATGTCAATATGGACCAAAATCTCTGAGGAATGTTTCCAACACCTTGTTGAATCTATACCATGAAGAATGAAGGCAGTTCTGATGGCAAAAGGGGGTCTAACCCAGCACTAGCATGGTGGACTTAATAAAGTAGCCGGTGAGTATATGTCTTTGTGATTTTGAGTAAACTTATATATAAATAAAACATTTGTATTTTTATACTCTGTGTGTGTTTTTGTGAAATTTACTTTGTGAATTCTGGAATTTGAAGTTCCGTGTGTAAAGATACACTTACTTTAAACTTAATTGCTTACGATGTCGGCTAACACAGAATAGCTTTTGTTGGGGAGGTTCACCTTGTATACCTTACAAACTCATATTTATAGTGACAGGTTCTCTTTAATGAGAATTCAAGGGTTTATTAGACCCCTGATGTCTCCCTTGCACTCCACAGAAGCTAATAATATACAGATCGTGCTCCATTAGCTTCTTCCTTGGCCACTGTAGCTGGGGAAAGCAACAGTTGAAACTGTGGGAGGGATGTGTGTGCTTCCCCTCCTGAGCCATGCTGGGCCATATGCCTTCAGCATGTAGAGTGTACCTTGCCAGAGGGGGATCCTCCTGGAATAGTACCGTATCCCCATGTTAATGAGGACAAGAGTCTTTTCCAAGTCTTAAAGCCACCTTTAAAAGTAAGGGGTGCCCGATACCCCCCTCATGTGAAAGAGTAAGGGTACCCCTTACTTATATCATAGGGCAGAAAGGTGGCTGATGTCATTGAACAAATATGTCCAGTGCTGATGCCTGGGAACTTTTGATTGGTGGACATACCATTTTTAAAAACTGTCACTTCATAAGGGCCTACTTAGGGAAAATCCTGGTTCTTCTGCTGCCTGAGACACACACCAAACTACCCCCACCCCCCAGTACCCAAAATAGTAAGAGGAAAAATGCCCCTGATGTCAGTGGTCAGTAGGAGGAAAAAGGGGGGGGGGATAAAAGCCCAAATGACAGTTGGAGGGAACTTACATCTTGCACCTCATCTCACACACAAAACGACATTACATCCATCTGTTGGAAAATAAGCATTCCACTGAGATCTATTGAGATCTGAGAGGGAAAGTTCTTATTAACAGCAAACTAGTGTAATCTGGCATTGCGCATACGCAAGAAGAGGCGCATGACATTACTTTGTGTTGCACATGCTCATTATTAGTGTAAATATTAGTGTTAAGATCTTGCAATTTAGGTTCGAGATGCAAAACATGGCCCCCCCATGGGTGTACACTTCAGTACACCTGCTTGAATGAAGACTTGTTGAAAAGTATTTATTAAGGTTTTCTGGGATTTTGGTTCTTGTGCAGAGACCAATTTGCTTTAGGGTAGTCCAGTCTGGTGTATCAGTCACTGACTCTCTCAGCATTTATCCATAGTTTCAATGGAGAATTGAGAGCTAACAGCTTTTGTGGACCCTTTAGAAGCTTTGCTGGAGCAATCCTTACCAATCAAGAGAGTGGAGGAGTGTGATGTAGGAGTGCTGAAAAATGTATATATCAGTGGACACTCCCTCAATGCCAGTTTTGCTAACTGTATCAGTATTTACAAACTGACAACCAATGTACAGTATCTCACAGAAGTGAGTCCACCCCTCACATTTTTGTAAATATTTTATTATATTTTATGTGACGACACTGAAGAAATGACACTTTGCTACAATGTAAAGTAGTGAGTATACAGTTTGTATAGCAGTGTAAATTTGCTGTCCCCTCAAAATAACTCAACACACAGCCATTAAAAACCACTGGCAACAAAAGTGACTAAACCCCTAAGTGAAAATGTCCAAATTGGACCCAGTTAGCCATTTTGCCCCCCCTGGTGTCATGTGACTTGTTAGTGTTACAAGGTCTCAGGTGTGAATGGGGAGCAGGTGTGTTAAATTTGGTGTTATCGCTCTCACTCTCTCATACTGGTCACTGGAAGTTCAACATGGCACCTCATGGCAAAGAACTCCCTGAGGATCTGAAAAAAAAAAAATTGTTGCTCTACATAAAGATGGCCTAGGCTATAAGAAGATTACCAAGACCTTGAAACTGAGCTGCAGCATAGTGGCTAAGA